GTCATTTATAATTTATTCATAGCTGTGATTGTCCATGTAGTCTCAACTAAACACATTTTATTAATATTTAAGCTGAAAGAGTAAAGTTCAAATTTCTACAAATATTCATCCAATGATGTGGAAAAATTCAAGGCAGTTGGTAAATGTGACTGTCAGACAGTATACAAAAACTGACTGTTCATTTTGCCACAATTCACAGTGAAATGTAAAATATGAGATTTGAGGTGGGTGGCAGATGAGAATATGCTTGAAAACTTTTTGTTTCAAAAGGTCACATAATAATTGATTTTATCACATGACTTTTCAGCCCTGACCCCCCCCCCCCCCCCAAGGACAAAATATTTGTTTGGAGAAAAACTGCAAAAATGAACATTTTTAAAACAATTTCCATGGGAAGCCATTATTTCATAGAAAATGAATTGTAATTATCAGAACAAAACTTGACAACCATAAGAACGCATCTTTATAACTACATATCATTTTTTCACCATACATGTATGTGAGCAAACAAAATTTGGAGATATGGTGAAAACTTTTTACCCTGGAAAGCCAAATGGCCCGAAATCCCCAATTTCACGTTTTTTTTTTATCTGATCATGTAATGGTAGCCAGCTACCATAATAGTTACTGTATACAAATGCCAAATATGTACAATGTCTTTTTTTAAGCAGAATTAAAATTTAGCACTACCAAGTTATCACAAGAGCAATGCATTACGGGAGAGAAATCCAAAATATATATATATATATATATAATGGAAACCTAGTATCCTACTGCAAACTCATTAAATGTATGACAATAATAGGAATTGTACCAATAGTAATATGACTTTTCATTTCCATGTGATATTTTCCATGACATTTGCAATTTTGGTTTCTGTGTAAATTATTACATGTGTTACATTACCTGTTTTAATTGATTCATTTCCACCTTGACTGCTTCGTAAGTAGCTGTAGCTTCTTGTAATTTACTGGTCAAACTCATCAGATTCTCAACCTTCTTACCACTATGTTTGCATTTACCAGGCGATGATTTGTTGTCACATCCGATCAAATCAACTTGTTTCTGTAAAATCTTGTTTTCTTTGTGAAGTGTGTCTATTTCGCGCTGTAGTTGTTCTATTTCATCCTGCAAATACAAAGACATTCATCTGAAAAGGTTTTGCTTCTCGTCACAGGGAAAACTGAAACATGATTCTGTTTCAATAGTTTTGTTTTAAAATTATTCAATACCACCAGCGAGCAAAACAGCAAACAAAAATGTGTGAGATGTAGGTTTTATGATCACAATGACAAACAAGCAGCCTGTCGGCTGAGATAGCTCCGCTGTTAGCATAGCACATTGCAATTAAAAAACAGAAGATATCATTAGAAAATGAACAATATGTATAGTATCAAAGCAATTGGACTTGTTTTTTTCAACAAGAATTCAAAAATATTACTTTTTACCAAAAATGACAAAAAATATTCACCAAAATTAGAGAATTGAAGATACCATCATGAAATGAACAAATCTAAGAGAGGTCTACCCAACGTACATACACACCAAGTATCAAAGCATTCAGGCTTGTAGTTTTCAAGAAGAAGTCGAAAGAGTAAAACGTTAACACGAACAATCACTCATATGATAAGCTCCGCTCGACAAAGTCAACAGCGGAGCTAAAAACAAAACCTCTTTCTTCGGTCTTTTTTTGAAAAACTTAAGCGACAGCATTTTGAGTAATGAGCAGGAATAAGCAAAAATAAGAAGCTTGAATAAACTAGGTCAATGTGCGTTCGAGATCATTAGAATATATGTCAGGCTGCCACCTTAGATCACATTGCAAGAGAAACTGCAGCAAACACATTAAATTGCATGTTTACAGACAGCCATATTGGGTCACATTGAGAGAGACACTACAGCAAACGTATTAAATTGAGTGTTTACAGTCAGCCACATTGGATCACATTGAAAGAAACTGCAGCAAACATTAAATTGAGTGTTTACAGTCAGCCATATTGGATCACATTGAGAAAGAAACTGCAGCAAACATTAAATTGAGTGTTTACAGTCAGCCATATTGGATCACATTGAGAGAGAAACTGCAGCAAACATTAAATTGAGTGTTTACAGTCAGCCATATTGGATCACATTGAGAGAGAAACTGCAGCAAACATACTAAATTGAGTGTTTACAGTCAGCCATATTGGATCAC